TGTTAACCCTTTGAATACTGGTGATTAGATTTCAACTTCTACTCAGTTTATCCACTTTGTTAGTTTGTTTAAAATATTTGACAGACGAGTATAATCTTAGTTTTGCCCTCCCGCCCTTTTTGCCTTATTTTATTTATTCCCCTTTATTTAATTCTTGTTTGTGAATTATTGCTTAATGTATATGTCATTTCCCCCACTAGCGCCACCACTCTCCAATATGAGGGTAGGCCTACATGTTAGCTTTACTGGCAAGATTTCTTATAAAATATTCTGATTTATTTGTAGATTCTGATTTGAACAATGGTAGATTTGTAAGTATTTATTGTTTATCTTATTCTGCTGTGTTTTGAGATACTTTAAACTTTCTGAACAAAAATAATATTTGTTAAATCAATTTATTATGATTTTATATTAGGCATTGAGAGATACAGTAAATGGTAGATATTTTGAAGGACCAACAAGGCATAAATTGGTGCCGTCACTATCAGCAGATAATTCTGGTCAATCATTTAAACCAAAACCAAAACAATCAGCAGAACCGTACAGTGGTGAACATATAAGGTAAGTTCATGGTATATGTAGTAGGAGCTACTGCCCCTGTTCTTGAGAACGTGTTCAATTTTTAGCGCGTAAACATTCTAGAAGTCTCAATGCTTGACAGATTTTGAGGAAACTTGGGGAAATTGTTTATTATCACCCATGGATGAACCCTATTAAAAATCAAAAAATGTTTCATAGGAGTTATTTACCTTGTTCTTGAAAAGGCTTTCAAATTTTAGCTCATAAACACTAAAAGGCATGATTCTTGCCGGATTTTGACAAAACTTGGTTTCATTATTCAGTATCGCCCTAAAGAGTTCAAAAGAAATGTATGACTGAAGGTTGAATATTTAATACTGTTGATTGTTACTGTACTGCTAAATATTTTTATTCAAAATCAAAGCTGCCAGTGGGTGTATAATTACCTTGCTTGGCAAGCTATCTTTTTACGTATTGTTAACTCGTAGTTAACCGCAAGCCTCAATAAATAACTCACTGGGATTTGTAAATAACTCTAACAACAACTTGCAGGCACTTGTAAGAAACCGTGAAGTGAGAGGCAAATTTTTGTACATGACAAAAATCTTCTCAAGATTGTCCACAATTTAATTTTTAAATTGTATAGCTCATAACAAATCGTAAATATTGCAAACTGCTTGTAAACCA